TGGCTCACGCCTGTAATCCTAGCTACTCAGGAGGCTGAGATCTGAGGATCGTGGTTCAAAGCCAGCCCGGGCAGGAGAGACCGTGAGACTCCTATCTCCAATAAATCACCAGAAAGCCGGAAGTGGCGCTGTAGCTCAAGTGGTAGAGCGCTCACCTTGAGCTGAAGAGCTGAGGGACAGCGCCCAGGCCCAGAGTTCAAGCCCCACGACCGACAAAAAAAAAAAAAAAAAAAAAAAATAGTAAGTTATGATGGAAGGCAGTTACCTGACATTAGTTTAGCAATGATGCTTAGCAATAGTTTGGTGATCCAGAGCTCCCAGTAGATGGTAGCTACTACAACTTCTGTCTGATAAAATGTTATGGTAGTCATGACATCCATTTTCCAACTTCTCCTCTCTCCCACCATCTCTATCTTACAGCCTCAGCAGCTCTTCTGGCTACAGATTTTCCCAGCTGCTCTTAAATCTAAGTATTCCTGGGAGATGCTGTTTTCAGAAACCTTTGGTTTTATTCTGGTAAGAAATGCTGCTAGTTGTTTTAAATATTATTTCTTCTTCTCTTGTTCACCTTTTCAGGTGATACACCTGGATGGTTTATCAATAAACAGTAAATAATTTTTGACAACGTCTGAGTCTTTTCTATTTCTTGTTTGCAGTGGGATTTATACATTTATGTGCTTTCATGATGGTAGGTACCTTTCATGTCTGTTTGTAGCATCTTTGGTGATAAGATGTTGATCTATTGGTCACCATCTCCTCAGATTTAAATTGTCTTCAAGGACTTTCCTTCTCTTTTACTTCTGAAGGATAGCCTTGCTGTGCATATTATTCTTTGGCAGTTTAATATTCCATTCCTTCCTGTCCTGAACAGATTCTTTTCAGAGAAATCTGCTATTTCCCTAAATGGAAATAGGTTCCTGGGTATCTGAGATGATAGACATGAGCCAGCACGCCCCATTCCCAAGGAAGTATTTTGTATGAAAATGTTGGCATAAAGATTGGCAACCATTTCCAGCTCTTCTGGCTTTCCTATTTCAAATTATACCACACATGCTTACATGAGCGCGAGCGCGCACGTGCCACACACACACACACACACACACACACACACACACACACCCATAAATAAGGCTTCCCTTTAATAAACAGCTCTCGAGGGCTGGGAAGGTGGCTCAGTGGTAGAGCAATTGCCTTGCATGCATGAGGCCCTGGGTTTGATTCCTCAGCACCACATAAGCAAAAAGAAAAAAGCCGGAAGTGGCACTATGGCTCAAGTGGTAGAGTGCTAGCCTTGAGCTGAAGAGCTGAGGGACAGCGCCCAGGCCCAGAGTTCAGGCCCCACGACCGGACCCCCCCCCCAAATATAAATAAATAAATAAACAGCTCTCCTATCTACCCTACCAGTATTTCCCCAGACTATCTCTAAATGGAGCAGATTAAGGAGTCTGACAAAAGACTTTCTGCCTGAAGTTTTCCCTTCCTCAGGTTGCATAAATTGGCGGTGAGTGTCTGCCAAGCGTTTGGTGACGCTCGGTTTGGTGGCTTCTGGCAAGAACATTCTGTCCCAGCAGCTAAATGCAGGCTTCCCTGAGTCACACACTGACTTCAGCCCCCATTTCCTGCACCCAGGGCCTTCTAAATAACTTGGGAGGAGAAAGAAAAAACAGAGTCCCCTCCCTTTTATTAGAGAACTGTAATATGCTGCCACAGAGCGGCTGGGACTTGTGAGGAGCCCTTGGTAGATAAGGCCACCGTGGTGAGCGCTACACTCACCCGGCCTCCTATGGCACAAAGCCAAGAGCCCGTGGAGCGAGTGCCCCAACCAACCTTGGGATCTGGGAAAGAAACTCCTTCCCGGTGTGACACGATTCACAAGACAAATGAGATCACATGACCCCACTGTTGGAAAACCCTCGAACTGAGACAAATTCCCAGGCTCCCCAGCTCCAGAGCCCGGGCCCTGCCTCCTCTCCCATCCTCCCGTGGGGACATCCTCCCGTGGGGACATCCTCCTCCTTGTTCCGGATGCCAGCTTGGAGCTGCCTCCACCGTGACCAGTCTTTCCACATCCACAGCCTGTGCCCTCGCTGCCCACAGCACACCTCTCCTGACGCTTCGGAGCCACTCTCCTCTCCAGCGCCCCGCGTGGCTGCTCTTCAGGCCGGCCAGCTGGCCACGCTCTTCAGCTCTGAGTCTCTATTCTTGCAGGGAGTGCTTGGCTTTCTTCGCTGCTCTGAACCATGGGAATGTGGGATCGTGCACTGATTGACACACCAGCCTCTGCTCCCTGAAGGGTCTGGGACTACCTCCTTCATCAGGGAAACCCTCATGGCAGGTGTGCACTATAGCTGCGCCTTAGATGAACAGTGTCTCACCTCGGCTCCAATCCTGAGCTTTCTGTTTTAAACAGAGCTTAGGTTTTGAATGGAGACGCTGTGTGAGCGGAGATGTGTCCCAGATGTAAAACTGCGGAGGTATGCTTTAAATAGGAGACCACCCTTTTTGACAATGGATAGCTCCTTCCTCTCCATTCTTTTTTTAAAAATGTTTTAATTTGAAAAAATGTATTCATTAATTTTTATTGTAAAGATGATGTACAGAGGGGTTACAGTTATATAAGTCAGGTATTGAGTACATTTCTTTTTTTTTTTTTTTGTCGGTTGTGGGGTTTGAACTCTGGGCCTGGGTGCTGTCCCTCAGCTCTTCAGCTCAAGGATAGAGCTCTACCACTTGAGCCACAGCACCACTTCTGGTTTTCTGTTGGAGATAAGAGTCTCATGGACTTTCCTGCCCGGGCTGGCTTTGAACCGTGATCCTCAGTTCTCAGCCTCCTGAGTAGCTAGGATGACAGGCGTGAGCCACTGGCGCCCGGTGAGTACATTTCTTTGGAACAGTGTCACCCTTTCCCTCATTTTTTTCCTCTCCATTCCTGTGGCAGGTCTGTTTCACTTGAGATGTCACTTTCCAGAGTGTGTTGCACAGATTTAAGTGTTTGTGTGGACGGATGTAAACCCATGGAGATTCACGTTGTTGTGGAATGGCTACCGTACCCAGAAGGCTCGGTGTGACCCTGCTTAGTCCATGCCCTCACCTTTGGGCAAACACTGCTGTCAATCTCAATTTGGACTATTTTTTGGGGGACAATGGAGTGTGATCAGTCCTGATCACACTTGCTAGGCAGTCACTCCACCTCTTGAGCCAGTCTCCTCTCCCCTCTCTCCCCCCCACCCCCGGCCCAAGTCATTTTTACTTTTTTGTTTTTAAAATAGCCTCTTGCTCTTTGCCTGGACCACAATCCTATTTAAGCTCCCCACAAACCCGGGGTGACAGCCGTGCATCACCTCACTTAGCTTTTGTGGGCCAAGATAGAGTCCTTCACACTTTTTACTCAGGCTGGTCTTGAATTGTGATGCGATCCTCCCAAGTAGCTAGGATTACAGCTATGAGCCACCCCATCCGGTTTTACCATTTCTTAACTTCCTAGATGGAAGTCATACATGACGTATTCTCATAGAGTATTTGCCCAAAAGTGTGATTTTGAAATCATGCTGTTATAGGAGCCAGCAACTTGTGTTGTGTATCTCTTGTATGCATGTGTGTATGTGTGTGCGTGTTATAGTTTGTTTATGTATTATGGAGGTGAAGGACATTTATCCAGTTAATGGCATTATGTTACAAATGGACTGGGTGTGCTCTCCAGAGGGAGCGGCTTCCTGATGGGTGTTTAGATGCTGCCATTTCCCACCAGTGTGTGGAGGAGTGTTCTCCTCTTTCCATATCCTTTCCAGCACTAGATGTGCCCGCACATTTAAATTCAGCCGTTCTGGTAAATGCATGGTGTATCTCTCTGAGGTTGTTTAGTTTGTTTGCTTGTTTGAGATGAGGTCTAGCTATATAGCCCAGACTGGCCTCTACCTTCCCATATCAGTGCTGGGATTTTAGGTGTGCACTACCGTACCCAGTTTTAGTATTCTTAATTATAGCACACAATGGGGAAGTGTTGAAATAAGTTCTTAGCGTACATGAAATAGCTTAAAAGCCAAGATGGCTGAATAAAGCAGAGAGCTCTTCCAGCACCTTTTATCAGTGTTCAACAGACCCCCCCCCCCCCCCCGCTCCTCAGGCCTTGTGTGAATTCTCTCCTTTCCAGAGATGGTTGCCAACTCATTTCTCCCAAGGCTCATTTCTGGGAGAACCTAGATGTGCTCATTTCATATAATGGTGGCGTCGTGAGAGACTACGGTTACCCCTGCAGGAAGTGGCCACAGCACAGAAACGACACCACACGGACAAAGAGTCATTCACCAGATATATTTGAAGTCTAAGCTCTTTGAGCTACACACGTGCACAAATGATTCGGTCAGTGGAAATCGTCCCCTTCCCCTCCATTTAAAAACTTTCCAACACTTGGGATCGTGACAGAGAGGTTTGCATCATGTGTGTCATGGAAACGTGGAGGTGGTGTGACTTCCAACCGTCTCTGCGAGCTTTCGCTGGGGCTGTGCCCCACACTCTGGGGACCAGCTCCTCTGCCCCCCAAGAGCCCTCCCCCCCACACATCACAGAGCTCAACCCCCAGACAGAGGGCCTTGATATGTTGCATTGACTGGTGACAAGGCTATACATGCCACTGCAGGAATCTGTCATGTTTCACTTTCCCTAAATGGCCGGACATGACTGCTTGGAACTCTCGGAACTCATTGGCAATCTCTTTCTCTCTTCTCCAAGTCTTCAGAATGTGCATTCTGAAGGAGCCCCTGAGCTGCAGAGAAAAGGGGGACCCACGTGACAGAGCCCGCTACCAACTGCATCGCTGCGTGCGTGCAATGTTCTTCCCACTAGAGGGCGTCACGGCTCCACTATGTACTCCTCCATTTCTCAGTGAGAGGGAAACAAAAACCTTCACAGGCAAGCGAAGTCAAGGCATGAGCTTAATATGCGCTCCTCAGACTTTATTTTTGAAAGCAGTCTTCATTTGTTCCTATGGGAACTCAGGATTTTTACAGGCAACGCTCTCCTCAGTTCCAACGGTACGGTTCAGTACCATATTGCTTTATTCACAGTAGAACGGACTTTAATTTCTGAGTGATCAGTCTATGTGAGACATTCCTGAAGAAACTAACATACACCTTAGTCCATTTAAAAACATACACACAAACAACACAGGAATCCTTCGATCGGTTGGCTGTGTTATTTTTCTTGGGTGCTTTCTGAAAGTATGTCCCCCACTCCACGGAGATTTGTATTTGTGTCTAAAGGAGTTTATTAATGCACAGGAGTAACGAGCCTGGCACAGACAGCGGGAGGTGGTGGTTTTCTAGGTGTATCTTCTGTAATGCACTTTGGGCTAGAGGAATACAAAAGTCACATGTAATGGAAACAAACCACTCTTTTGAGCATTGAGGGGTCTGTAGGGGCAGGGTGAGATGGGTATACATTTATCTACCATTCTTTCTTCTTCTACTATGCTCAGATGCTACTGTCTGCAGGAGGTGTAGCTTCGTTCAAAGCATCTACAACTGACACTTAGTCTTTATCTCAAAACAAGTTGACTCCACAGCAAAAATGTTGGCTAATCATTTCTACATTGACATGAGATGATACTTCCGTGCCATTTCGAAACAGCATTATCCATAGTTAGTTGTGTAGTAGTATTAGATTATCTAGATTAGTATATGAACGCATTCAGAAGCAATGCACATATTACGTTCTTCAGCAGCTAATGGTCGAACAATCACTAAATAAAAAACCTCCAGATTGTAAAAGCACAGCTGAAACATTTGTACAAATATACAAAGAGGAAAAACAAAACAAAACGTCATTCAGACACTGTGAGGCCTGATTCATCAATAGGGTCGTCTGAAGTCGGTCTCTCACCCTGGACAAGCCTCCTAGTGGAAAACCGGGGAAGTTCTTCATGGGATCTGTGGTTGGAATCTATTGAGGAATATCTTTGGAGCCAGGCTCAGTTTCACCTCCAGGAATCTGAACAGAGTTAGAGAGAGTTATCTCAAAACAGTGACTAGATCCAGATTTGATTGAGCAGCATGGCTACGAGGCTCTTCCTAAAGGAGGGCATGGCTGGGCACCGACAATTTGGGGGGGTGGGGGTGTCTCTTCAGATGGTGAAAACAAATGCTGGTGGTGATCATGCATGTCCCGGGATGCAGAGGCCTGAGTGAGACCAGAGAGGAACATCTCATGCAGTCAAATCAAGTTTACCTATGGTCCTATTTTTAAGTGGCCAGGAAAACAACATGGACAACAACTAAAGACCCCAGCAAACACTCATGAGGACTGGACCCACAACAGCTTACAAACAACACGGATGCTATTTGTTACTGATGTCTCTGGTTGGGATTAACAGGCGAGAACAAAGATACTAGGCTGTGCTGATTATTTAATAAGAAAATACTACTTCTCTTTTTCTAGAATCTTCTAAATAACGGTCGATACGTTGATGGGTGGTACGATATGACATTACCTTTTTCCGAGCCCTTTTGTCCGAGAGGCTTGATTACAAGGAAGGAATCTCAAACAACCAAACACCCAGGGATTTAAAGGCAATTCATTCTTTTTTTTTTTTTTTTCCAACAAACAAACAACAAGGGAAAGAAAGACATGATAAAGAGGAGACAGAGATTATTGTCGCGCCGGAGCAGTGCGCTCAGTTGGAGACCGAGGGTGGCAGGCCGGGACGCCGGGTCTGGATGATTTTGGGCTTTGGAGAAGTCTTTGGGTCCTCTTCCTCCTCCATGTCACTGTCACACACGTGCACGACCACGCTGGGCGTGGACTCCGTCCCCGCGTGCAGCTCGTATTTCTCTCCTGAAAACCAAGGAACGTGAGCTTGAGAAAGAGGGAGAGAGTTCAATGTGGAGTCTCCGGCAGGCAGGGGGTGCTTAGGAAGTAAGGGGAACACTGTAGTGCCCCTCCCCCCAAACCAGGGATCCCATATGGGGATGAGGTGGGGTCTACAAAACGGAATGAAATCCATCTGTCCTTGTAGCTGACTTCTACCACCAGCCAACTTCCCCCCAGCCAGTCACCAACCCTAGTTACCTTCAAGTGCTCATTTGTAAATGACGACACCTCCATTTCATGCCACAAAACTGTGGCAAGGACCAAGTGTGTCTGGCAGTGTGATAGTTTAAATATTAAATGTCCTCCAAGGGCTTATTAAAGGGCTGGTCCTCATCCTTTGGCTCTGTGGGGAGGTGGCCTTACCTTTAAGAGGCGGAGCCTAGTGGGAGGTAGTTAGGACATTGGGGAGTGCCCCAGATGGAGATGTCAGGACTGCTGCCCTTGCCTGGCTGGCTCACTGTTTTTGCTACCCTACTGCTCTGAAGTAAGCAAGACTTCAGGCCCTGAGTCCTGCGAAGTGGTGAGCCAAATGAACCTATTTTTCAGGTAGTTAGAGTAGGTATTTTGTCACAGTGATGGAAAGCTGACCAACACAAGGCAGTTAATATGATTAGTCTCTCTTCCATTTCCAACCTTGCTGCTACATGCCGGGTGACCACGAGCCAGTCATCTGCTTCTTCTTTTGGATGAAATCATCTCTAAGTTTCCCTCCTGTCCCATTCTTACTGCCACAGCTGCCCAGAATGGGAGGGCATACCTTTCCAGGAAATGTAATGGTTTTGAGTTGATTGAGCTAGGATTCTTTCTCTTTCTTTCTTTCTTTCTTTCTTTCTTTCTTTCTTTCTTTCTTTCTTTCTTTCTTTCTTCCTTTCTTTCTTTCTTTCTTTCTTTCTTTTTCTTTTTTGGCTGGTCTTAGGACTTGAACTCAGGGCTTGGGCATTGTCCCTGAGCTTCTTTACTCAAAGATAGCACTCTACCACTTGAGCCACAGCTCCACTTTTGGCTTTTTGGTATTTAATTGGAAATAAGAGTCTCATGGACTTTCCTGCCTGGGCTCTCTTTGAACTGTGATCCTCAGTTCTCACCCCTTGAGTAGTTAGGATGACAGGAATGAGCCAGTGGAGATAGGTAAGACATTTATGCTTAACTGGCTCACTTTGCAGCTCAAGACAACTTCCTGTCTCTTATTTCAAGTGTGTGTGGAGCATCTCTCGTAGTCTCAGGTTGTAAAGGCAATACAGATCTTTGTGCTTTTTGTGCAGGCACATGGAAACAGAAATGATCACAATGTAATATGGTAAGCACTAAGGTGGAAAGGTAGAGAAAAGATGTTGGTGCCAACATGGTGAGGAGCAATCACTCTGAAAAGCTTCCAGATGTCCTGGGTTCAAATACTAAGACTGCCTGGTGAGAATTCTGTCTGCAACCTGTAACTTCATATTAACCATTAGCGTCTTACTCTTCCTCCAACATTTCCTCCTTCACTATTCATCCTTCATGAACCAATTGAGAAATCTTCTAAAAATCACTGTCTTCCAGATCGCTTCTGGGCAGTGCCTCCCAGGTCTCACAGACCAAGTCCAACTTTCTTGTAAATTTCCTGTACTCACGTAAGACTCTGTCTGGCTGTGCCCCTGTCTTTCCCAACACGATCTGCCTCTGTTCCTTTTTGATTCATCAACCCAGTTACTGCTGTGTTCTAATGATGATGGGGATCATCTTGTACCTACCAAATTAGATACTTTTACTTGGCATCGTTTCATTTCTGCCAGAAAGTTCCCTCGATCTTGCGCTCTTTCTGGGATCCTGATGAGACACTAACCCATCTAGGAATCTTGTCTGCTCTCCTCAGGGGCAGGTGCCTCTGCTGATGGCTAGAGCCAGCATTGTCCCTCTCAGCGACAGAGCACATGTGGGCAAGCAGGACAATGAGCATGGAAGGGCTCTCAAAGTCTCTATGAACTGGAGACTGAGGAACACTGACGATGCTAAGTGATACTGGGGAAGATGCGAAGTCAGGGTCAGCCATTGCGGTGGTTTGACTTGCGTCCCCTTAAAAGACACTGCTCCTAACCTCTAGCACCTGTGAAGGGGACTTCATTTGGAAAGAGGGTCTTGACAGACCACATGCCGAGACAAGGGCTTTAAGGTGAAGTCCAACTTTGATATGACTTGTGACATAAGAAGAAGGAGGAAGTTTTGTGAGTATGTGCTGACATAAGTGTGCATGCATGCACGTGCGCACGTGGGCACACACACACACACACACACACACACACACACACACACCTCTATGCCCCAAGTGCCATGTGAAATCTGGAATTACGCTACAGGAGGCCTAAGAACAACCAGAGGCCGGGACAGAGCTCTGAAGCATCTTCTCATAGCATCTTCCAGTGACCACGGCCCTGGGTATGCTTTGATCTTGGACTTTGAACCTCCAGAACTGTGAGTCAACAAGTTTTGTGTTGTCACAGCCCCTCCGTTTGTGGTACTTTGTTATAATAGCCCTTGAACAAATTCATATAGTCAAACCCTATGAAGAGCATTAAGTCAGCCCCAGAGACACAAAGGATGCATGGTGCCTTTCTATGTGGATGCTAGATTTAGCTTACAAACTCCTATGTACACATGTTGGGTGATACACAAGTATATACAAATGGGACAGATGTAAGAGATCTGGGAGGGGGGACCAGGAAGGTGCTTGTCTGAGTCACTCACATGACTTGGACCACAGGAATTAAGAGCCAGCACTCACTTGAAACTTAAGTCACCATTCCACAAAGATGTGCAGTTGCATTGTGCGAGTCAGTACCACCCAAGTGCCTGAGTTGTGTGGGTTCCATCCTTGCTGCAGAATTTAGAACCAATGTAAGCCAACCTAGCTATCAACCTTCAAAGGCAGAAATACCACATCTGCCATCGCTAAGGAGAGGAACACACAGGGAAACAGCCTGTGCACAAAGGCTCCGTGCTCTCAGACATCTGTCAATTTGCTGAGGGTGTTTATGCAAGACAGAAACTACCAGCAGAGGATGCAGCTCTGCAAGTTCTGACCCCCAAAGAACTACACTTGTACTTAGTGCCCAATGATGGAATCTGACATGTACTTAGTACCTACTGATGGAATCTGACATGTACTTAGTACCTACTGATGGAATCTGACATGTACTTAGTACTCACCGATGGAATCTGACATGTACTTAGTACTCACCAATGGAATCTGACCTGTACTTAGTTCCCGCCGATGGAATCTGATGTGTAGTTAGTACCTACCGATGGAATCTGATGTGTACTTAGTACCCACCGATGGAATCTGACGTGTACTTAGTACTCACCGATGGAATCTGACATGTACTTAGTACTCACCAATGGAATCTGACATGTACTTAGTACCCACAGATGGAATCTGACATGTACTTAATACCCACAGATGGAATCTGACCTGTACTTAGTTCCCACCAATGGAATCTGATGTGTGTAGTTAGTACCTACCGATGGACTCTGATGTGTACTTAGTACCCACTGATGGAATCTGACATGTACTTAATACCCACAGATGGAATCTGACCTGTACTTAGTTCCCACTGATGGAATCTGATGTGTACTTAGTACCCACTGATGGAATCTGACGTGTACTTAGTACCCACCAATGGAATCTGATATGTACTTAGTACCCACCAATGGAATCTGACATGTACTTAGTACCACCGATGGAATCTGATGTATACTTAGTACTCACCAATGGGATCTGATATATACTTAGTACCCACTGATGGAATCTGACATGTACTTAGTACCCACCGATGGGATCTGATATGTACTTAGTACCCACCGATGGGATCTGATATATACTTAGTACCTACCGATGGAATCTGACGTGTACTTATTACCCACTGATGGAATCTGACCTGTACTTAGTACCCACCAATGGAATCTGACATGTACTTATTATCCACCGATGGAATCTGCACACATTCTTAGTATCCACTGCGTGTCTCCCCGTGTTTCTGTATCTGGATGCCAGTGTCTCAGGGTTTTGTGTGAGGACAAGGGGCTGTGGTCCCACAGAGGCATGAGCCCAGACACTATGTGCCCGTTCCTTCCTCCAGAGCAGGTAGAGGATGGTGGAAGGAGGCCCCTGGGGTTGCAGAAAGGGAAGGAGGAGGAGTTCAGGTGGGTCTTTCGGCTCCTCACCACCAGCACTCACTCATCTTGGGTCATGGAACACAGCAAGGTACTCTGGGTGCCACAGCCTCTCTGGGCTCTGCGATTCTGCCTTTCCTTCAGGAACTCTGGCTCAATGGCCATCATCCCTCCTTAAAATTCACTAAAGACTGGCTAGCTCTGGTGGCTCACAGCTATAACCCTAGCCACTCCGGAGGCTGAGATCTATGGATCTCAATTTGAAGCTAGCTGATGCAGAAAAGAATCCGTGAGACAGTTATATCCAATTAACCACCAAAAATCTGGAAGTTGAGTATGGCTCAGGTGGTGGAGATCACTGTTTAGACCCTCCATTTGGGGAGTCAGTTTGTTATGTGGCCACTGGTAAGTCTTGGATTGTCCAAAATTATGTTCAAAAGCCACTGTAGTCATATTTGAATGCCTTCAGGCATGGTTTCACTGTTCAAGCACTGTGATAGGGTGGTTACTTCTGTAGACCTTTCATGTGACAGGTCTACCTGAGCCAGCCATTTCTACCTTGCAGTGGAGGCTGATGGATGATGCTGGAGAGAACTAGAAATGCTTTGTTTGCTCTCTTCCATCTTTGAGCCCTGCCTGCCTTCAAGAATCTGTGCTCTGCTCTGGACCCTGTGCTAAGCCTGATGTAAAAGCCCTTGTGGTGAGCTGCAGCCTGAGGTTTTCTACCTCTATCACAGGGTGAGTGTGCCCACGCAATTCTGTATTTCAGCTGTAGGAAGTCTTGGTTGTTGCTCTACAAAACCACATGGTCCACCATA